GTCTTGACAGTGGTTCTTGAAAAAAAACATTTCCATTATACTTTTTAGTTTGTCCAATGTTGGTCAAAATCTTTAAAGATCCACTTTTGAATTCATTAAGCTTTTATAAGTAACACAAATTGTTTAGAAACCTGATTGCCGGTCTTGGAGTGTTTCTTGGTGGGGAGTTTCGACTGTGATCAAGAAAAAGGTTGTTCCAGAGGTTGTTCACTGCAATGTTCCAGAGGAACATCTGAAAACAAATGTGGGGACTAGGGCAGTTGGGGGCAGACTGGAACTTGACCTCAAAAATCAATATTTTTCCACGAGAACTTGCACACAGGGGTTTTTGACTATGCTGAGTCGATTAGTAGCACTTTTATAACTTTTGAAATTAATTTTATTACTTAATAGCATTTTTGGTAAAAACTCGAATGAATTTGCCGAAAAACAGGTCCTAACCTACCTTTACATAACATTTTAATAATACTTTTATAAGTTTTTTATCAATTTTATGTTTTACTTTAACAAAATCGAATAAAAGTATTACTAATCAATTCAGCATAGTCAAAAACCCCTTTGTGCAGATTATCGTGAAAAAATTTTGATTTTGGGTCAAGCTTTTTTGTTTTTGTTTGTTCACTGCCACCCTAACTACTCTAGCGCCCAAATGTGTATGAAAGATAATAGATAAAACCATTAAAGTTAACAAAATGCTCGAGTAACAACTTGTCAAAGAATCAATGGTGATATAAATTTTGCTAGGGTAAAAAGAAGAGGGAAGGAGGGTTATATGAAAGAACATTTGCAAAGGATATCCTCTTGATTGATCCCTCTCTAGACAAAAAAGAAGCTAATGGATGCGCAAATTTAGCAATCACTTACCAATCGTTGCCCGGATACAGGGCCCAAAGTGTACGCGTTCTCAGAACGCCTTGCGCCTTCGCGTACGCGTTTTCAGAACGACTTGCGCCTTCTCCGCTTTCAGAACGCCTTGCGCTATTAGCTTAAACAAGTATTCGCAATAAAATTCCTTTACAGTCTGCTGATTGTAGCACAAGATATGCGGCATCAAAGAGCTTGTGACATTTCACATAAGATAAGAAAAAGAATCTATTGTGAAAGTCGAGAGGCCTGGTATGAATTGACACAAATTCTAAGCACGGGACTTAGTCGAACTGCCGATTCAGATAGCTTTCTGATAATAGAATGCTTTGAAGTTTTTATTAAAATAATGAATCAAAAATGGTATTGAATTATTGATGGTACAAGTTAGCCATCGAAGAACCATAGACACCAGAGAGCTAAAAAAGGAATGAATGAGTCAAGCACAGTATAAAATCAATGAGTACACGTACGTACAAATCTTATTATTGTTTGCAATACCTGACTATTCGTTGGATCGGAAACGTTGTCGAAGAGATATGATGGATAAGTCTAAAGCTGGTAGATTGAAGAGGTAGAAGTGATCAAGATCGATATATCGTATTTTCTCTAATCGTAGTGCACCCCGGCGAGCCGAGTTGGTGACTATTTTACGGTTTCCAAGCTTTTGCAGAAGCTCAACACTCTAATCCCCCACTAGATCTCATCGTCAGCTACATTTTCCGACCCAACATCGATAGGTTTGGATAAGCGGTTCTCGAGATTTCGAGCAATTTAGGTGACGCTCAGGGTGCACTACTATTAGGGAAAATACGGTAAATACGTAAAAATCCAGTACCTGATCATTTAGAGAGGGTAAATGAGTCGTTGGCATCAGATGTGAATCAATTTCAATTCCTCCACTCAATGGATGCAATGAACTTGTAGTGGGGACATCTAAAAAGTCTTTTAAGATTTTTAAGATGTAAGAAAGTTCAAAACTTTACTGTCTTAATGCCATTTTTTTTTTGCTAACCTGATAAATATTGATGAGCGGGAAGCATTGTTACATATTGTCTGAATTGAGGGAGTTTCTTTTGCCGAATTCTTCGATTGCCAAACCAATTCGAGACCTAAATGAGAAGAATTAGATAAGTATTTGAGCTCGACTAGCTAACAAATCTTAAACCTTGAAAATCTGATAATAAATCTAGGATTTAAGTGTTTAAAATCACCAAAAACATTTCAGGAAATTAAATATAATCTTGCTGACAGTTTTTTTGTTGTTAAAACTTGTTGAATTAATAAAAACATAAGAAACCTGTTGCACTGTGATATTGCATTTCTTAGCCAATTCCGCTTTTTCTTCATCTGTTGGATAGGGATGATCGGCGTGTGTGTTGAAGAATTCTTGGAGAACAGCAGTCGCCTCTTTTGAGAAATTTCGCCGTTTTCTTCTAGAAAAAAATAGAAATTGTTGATTGAATTATCACCTGGCATCAAGACAAGAATTGCTGAGAACGAGCGCTTGATTGCAAACGACTTGCTTCATTTGGTATTCAGCTTTCTGGAATCGTCTCTCCACCAGGTCCATCGATTTGTGCTTATCCTGAAATCGTTGCAATTTTTACAATACAATCTTTTAAAAAGTAAATTAGCTACAATTTGGTCGGTTCTTTAGCTAAAATTTAGCTTCTACCTCATCGGATATTGGCCTAAACGACTTCTGGACTTCAAGCACCTCGCAAACTTTCTGTTTCATCGCTTCACAATCCTAAATTGACTAAATTGAATTAAAGATATTTAAGCGCTAAGAAAATTTTAATATAAATACAGAGATATTTAGGAACATCGAGATTACACAAGAGAGATTGTTTGCTTGGACACTTGATGAATACCGTAGTGGACAGAGAGAGATCTCTAGCCACCAACCAGTGTCTGAATCGATTTTTAGCACTGTTTATTGAAAAAAATAGGCAAAACAGTGAAAACATCCTATAGAAAATGGCTATTTGTTTGACTTTCTTTAGCAGAAATCTTTGACAGAATGACAGACATCAACGGACAACACAACTACAGTTTATTTAACTAATAGCAATCGTTTTAACGTTTTTAATCGTAAGCTAATCTTTTGTTTGAATAGATTTCAGTTTAACTTATGATCTAATGAAATTTTGTTAGCTTTGTAATGTTTTACCTTTTTCATATCAGCTCTCGTCTCCTCAAAAGCTGATCTCAATTGATTCATTTGCATTTTGTAGTCCTCTTCAATATCAGAATGTGATGCTCTGAAAAAAGACAAATTAACATAAGAAAACTACCGTAAATACTGTAATAGTATCCCACTCCCATAATGACGGTGCGAAGTGTTGCGTAGTCTAGCTTTGAACGAATTTTTCTCGACACTGATTTATGCTACAATGCGCGCTTAGGTATCAAAAAATAGCCCTGAATTTCAGCTATTTTTTGATACCAAAGGCGCATTTTTTGAAAGTACGGGCGCTTTGAAAAAAATGAAATACTAAAAAACTTTTGCGACTACGCGACTGTACGAGGGGGGTGGGGTACTATTACAGTTTTTGCGGTAACTAGTTTTTGTCTTTTAAACTTTTTTTTGCATTTATTGGAAGCATCTTCTTTTCCATGGTTTCTCGTCTTTAAAATTGTTGTATCTGTTTTTGTTAATCAACTTGAAGATTAGACATTTGTCTAACTTTGTATAAGTCTAGTACTTGTGATATTTATGCTGACAACATTAGTCTAGTATCAGCCTTGGCTCAGGACTAGCCAAACAGACTAAATAGCCAACCGTAAATACTGTAATAGTACCCAACCCCCATAATGACGGTGCGGAGTGTTGCGTAGTCTAGCTTTGAACGAGTTTTTCTTGACACTGGTTTATGCTACAATGCGCGCTTAGGTATCAAAAAATAGCCCTGAATTTCAGCTATTTTTGATACCAAAGACACATTTTTGAAAGTACGGGCGCTTTGAAAAAAATGAAATACTAAAAACTTTTGCGACTACGTGACTGGACGAGGGGGTAGGGTACTATTACAGTATTTACGGTAACTAGTTTTGTCTTTTAAACTGTCCTTTTTATCTTTTTTGTCTTTTCTTTTTGTCTTACCCATCCCTCTGCATCGCACGGTCCACCTTGTTCAGCAAGATGAAAATACTTCTCCTAAATTTCCTTCAAATTGTTTCTTGAAATCATTTTACCAGCATCATATCGACTTTATCGATCTCTTCAACAAAATGTGTGAATTCCTGGGGTTGAAGAGCTAAATTTACGTGTTTATGGGGAATTCAACCCGAACCTAATTCCATCTTCGTTTTCTCAGCCTTCTCTTTGGCGATTGTTCTGAAATTTTGTTTACAAATAGAGATTGACATTCTCTGCTAGTAGACAAAATTTCAGAGCAATCGGTCAAGAGATGGTTGAGAAAATGAAGATGGAATTAGGTTCGGGTTGGAATTTTCCCATGTCTAGTTTACGAGTGTGAAAAGCTAGAAAACCATTCTCATTCTCTCGATCACAAAGCACATCAAACATCGGACGGAAGAAGTGATTCGATAGCAAAATGTCACTAAATTTGGATGTAAATCGGATGTAAATGAGATGTAAATAAAAAAAGCCTTAAAATTAAACCAACAATGGTGGTGGAGCGATTTCATTTGGTGTGATTGTTGACATTTGGCTCAATTGGGACATGAATGGGTCCATTGAATTATCGAGGAAAAGCAATGAATTTGGTGGGCCGGTTGTGCATGGCTATAAGCTGAGAGTAAGAAAATTGATGCATATAGAAAGTTAAAACTAGAATTATTAGGTTGATGCAAAAAGTCTTTTTCATTTTTTCCGTACTTCCGTTAAAAAAGTAACAAATGCACCAATTGAACAACGGTTTATTGCATTCGAAAGGCCAATTATTTTTCTGCAAAATGACATTAAAACGAGTTTAAAATGTCTTATGTTTAGATTTTTTTGAGAGCCTGAAGTCGGGTAGTCAAAAAAGGCGACGGCTCGATGATGCATTTTAGACGCTTTAGCTAAGGAAACCAATCTTGATGTTAATAAATAAAAGATAGAGCACAAAAAGTTAGATATTTTTTCAGATTTTCAGAGAAATTGATTCAGCCAATTTCTTTATAGAGGTTTTTATAGATTTTTATGAAAAACCCGTTTTCACTCTCGAATTTGCTTGAAAGTGAACCCAAATTGACTTAAAAAGATGGGAAATTGAACAATAAACACTTTTCATTTAGAGCAAACCATAGGTTAATTGATGACTTTGTTATTTTTCAAAAGAAGTACGAAAAAAATGAAAAAGACTTTTGCATCAACCTAATAATTGGGCAAAAGTTAAAAATAATCAGATTTGATTGTATTTTGTGTTCTTTCTGGAACAGTTTTTGATTTTACTTTGACTCAGTCTTCCAGAGTTTCCGAATTCGAATTTTATTCGAAGACTTTTGAATTGAGTTTCCGGATTTGGGTGCAAAGTACAAATCTATCGATTGTTTCAGTTTTGAGCACAAGTACACCAGGAAGTGCAAATCTAGTTATTAAATAAAGTCTAAGCACATTAAAAGTTGCATTTTTGAGCAGAAATACACCCAAATTATAAAGCTAGTAAAGTTTAAGTCCAAGTAAAGAAACGTGAAGTAAACTACAAAGTTAGTAAAGTTTTAGTTTTGAGCACAAGTACACCAGTTGCATTTTTAACTTCCAAGCCCACTAAAAGTTGGTTTTTTTAACTTCCAAGCACATTAAAAGTTGGATTTCTAACTTCCAAGCACACTAAAAGTTTCATTTTTATCTTCCAAGCACACTAAAAGTTGCATTTTTATCTTCCAAGCACACTAAAAGTTGCATTTTTAACTTCCAAGCCCACTAAAAGTTGCATTCCAAGTAAAGAAACGTGAAGTAAACTACAAAATTAGTAAACTTTAAGTACAAGTAAAGAAAATGACTTACAAAGTAACTTACAAATTACAAATTACAAGTAAAGTTTAAAAACTCAAGCGCACCTGTAAAGTATCGATTATCGGAGTTGAATACATAGTAATAATTAAAGCCTTTTAAAGGATAATCAAGAATTTTGCAATTTCTAGGGTCTCCTTCCTACCGTAAGTTGGGTAAACATTGAATTGACAGGTGGGTTCTCCCTCTTCATCACCATTGATCCTATTTCTCTTTTGATTCTCTTGCAAAGTAAATCCTTAGACCCCAAGAGAGACAAATACTGTTGATATCCAGAGAATGCTTAACCTTTTATCCATTTATTCAATTATTTACCTTATATGGAAAGAATACGGATTGGGTCAATGAGCTCAAAGCTTTTAAAAAAGGAAAAGTCAAGGTTAGCCAAGTCAGGCCAAGTCAGGCCAAGTTCAAGCCTCACTAGGCCATAAAAAACTACAAAAATTTTTCAAAAATCGTTTAGAAAGTTGTTTTCAATGATTCCTTTTTCATTTTCAGTCAAAAATCAAAAATACTGAGGCCAAGATGTGCCTTTATAAATGGAAAAAGTATTAGACTTTGGTTATTGTTCTACCCTTATATTGGGTTGGTGGAAAAGTCCTTTCGGATTTTTTGGGAGAGTACCTTAAATTTGTCGAATTTTGACGTTTTATAGCTCATCCTAAAGCTGAATTCAAGACGGATCGATTGGTAAAAACCGTTTTGAGATATCTCTTTTCTAAAAGTTTTTACCGCTATTTTAGTAAAGGGCGGCAGAGCCAAAAAATGACTGTTTTCACGTTTCGTTAGTTTTCCGTGCAGAAACCTAGGCTAAAAGCATGTGTTTCGTGATCAGCGTCAAAAATAACCCCTAGACACGCATTTTCAGAATCTTAGCAAAAATTTTTTGAAAAATATTGTCATCGGTGGAAGTCGAACCAGCGACCCTCAGATCAATAGCCTTTCCGCCGCTTTTCGCGATTTTCCTTCGTTTTTCTCGTTTGCTAAGATGTGTCTAGGGGTTATTTTTGACGCTGATCACGAAACACATGCTTTTAGCCTAGGTTTCTGCACGGAAAACTAACGAAGGTGAAAACAGCCATTTTTTGGCTCTGCCGCCCTTTACTAAAATAGCGGTAAAAACTTTTAGAAAAGAGATATCTCAAAACGGTTTTTACCAATCGATCCGTCTTGAATTCAGCTTTAGGATGAGCTATAAAACGTCAAAATTCGACAAATTTAAGGTACTCTCCCAAAAATCCGAAAGGACTTTTCCACTAACCCAATAAATCCAGGCTTTGATTTACAATTCAAATTGAAATAGAAATCGTTTTAATATTACCTTTTTCGATTTACGTTTTGGAGGCATTGAAAATTTCAAAAGGCTATCAGATAATTCGAATTCAAAATTCAAAATCAAAAATCCAATGAAATATTGCGATAAAATTATTGCGATGGCTCAATGAATCGGCTCTAAAAACTGCTAAACTGATAAGTTTTTTGTGCAAATTTTTGACAGTTGCATCATTTTTCTGGAGTATTCGATTTTCACTCATAAAATGTATCGATTTTGAAAGCGTTTAAGAATCTTTATTTCAAAACACAAAAAATTGTACACGTAAATCGAAAATCCGGGCTTTACACCGAGATCGAGATCAGAGAAATGTAGACGAAAAGGCAATGGCAGAAAGTGGCTGGTCTTGGCTTCGGATTGAGAAATAGATGACTAGATAGAAAGCAAAAAAAGGCATAAATTAAAGGATTTGAAAAAAGGAAATTGAGTTTAGATTGTATAAAGGAAAATAAGGAAAGAAAAAGCGGCTGAAATTGTCATTTCAAAGTTCCAATCTTGGAGTACGCCGACTCCCATCAGACGTTTCACTGAGGATTTCTTGCCGTGTCTGAAAGATGAAAGTTTCGATTAGTAAGTAAAAGTTGTAAAGAAAGCCTACCTTTGTTATAACAAAGGTAGGCTTTCTGGGACACTAAGAAAACGCGAGTTTATTGGAGAAGATACATGATCAATTGAATCTTGTTTAATAGTTTGATATTTTGTAGGTCAGACCAGGGTCAAGCTATAGCTAGCTAGAAATAAAGTTATCCAAAGGCTCAGACAAAACCTGAAATAACTTTATTTTGTAATCTAGTATTACTTAGAATCTAAGCATTCAGTTTTTTAGAGTTTAGAACCTCTATTTACCTCAATGCCCACTCGAGCCAGTACTTTTGCGGGACTTCATTGAGTTGCGCGTGTTCGACGAGCATCTTCGAGAAATGAGCAGCTCGGGCTTGGAATCTAAACAGTTTATTCTATTCTTTTCTTTGGATTCAACTCACTTATCCAATTTCCCCACAAATCCTCTCAATTCCTTCTTCCATGCTTCCATCTCGAGTCGATGAGGCGTCACGAACTCGACGACTCCCAGATCATGAAGTCGTCTAGCATTGCTGCATTGATCACCCTAAAACTTGCATTTATTGGCTGTCCACTGCATAAATTTACATATATTTTATCGAAATCGAAACTAGATAAGAATGACAAGAGCTTGATTAGTTTTTGTAACTCTTATCCACGCAATCAGATATCGGTAATGAGCCATGTAACTCCAATTGTCCATTTGCCGTTGGCAATCTACAAATTTTGCTCGTACCTTGACCGGGTTTATTTAAAAAACGTTGAATTTACTTTTATTCGATAGAAAATTTCACGTTTTTCAAAAAACCCGATCAAGTTACGAGCAAAATACGTAGATTGCCAACGGCAGCGAAAAATGAGCGGAGTTAACATAGCTGTTTGGTAATGTACAGTGCTGTGACCGTTTCTCTATGTAAATTCAGTAAAGGCTATGTAAATTTGCAGTCAGATACCGTATTTTCTGTAATAGTAGTGCAGTCTGTAATAGTAGTGCAGTCTGTAATAGTAGTGCAGGCTGGAGGGGGGTTGAAAAAATAGTAGTGCGCACTACTATTACAGAAAATACGGTAAGTACTTTTATTAAGACTGTAAGTGACCTGCAATGGCATCAAAATCCCAGTGGCTCCCATTTGAAGCATTTCATTCAGCGTGTTCACTCCTCCATGCGAAACGATGAACTGCAATGTGTCCAAGCCTGAGAAACATCTTGTATTTGAATTTTGGTCATTTAATAGCTAATATCTTCACTTCTCAACACTTACTTAAAATCCTCTTCACCGGTAACCAGTCAGCAAAATAAACATTCTTTGGAATAGAAATCCCATCGAATTTCTCCTCAGACCTTTGATCGGCTTGCCAGATAACGGGAAATGGCAGCACTCCAAAGCCAGTCACCATATTAGTGAACTGTGCTTTATTCATCAAAGATATCTAAATAAAGTAATTGAAATTGAATCGCAAAGCTTTTTTTCACCTTTGCCAGACTCCCAAAAGTGATTAGAACAAATTTTTCCATCAACAATGTTTCCAATTCTTCATTTGAAATAAATTTCAAATAATTTCTTGTTGGACGTTGACAAAAATCAGTGCAACTCTAGAATTTTTTTTGTTAAATTTATTTCTAGCTCTTACTTCATTCTGATAATTCAACATTCCATCACTTTTCCCGTTTTTGAGAGTCCAGTTTTTTGGTGATGGAAGAGAAGGTTCAATTTCTCCCAAAAATTCTTCACTGATCGCTTTCTCCACTGTTCTTGATGGTCTGAAAGTGAAAAGGTCAAAGAATTAGGTTCTCTTTTCTTTTTTTCAGTGAAATGCATGACCCCAATTGGTCTTTTATCAAATGCTACGGATCTTTCTACTTATATTGAGAAAAACAATTGAAAGAATCACGCTAAAGTTTAGAAAAACAATAAAATCATTGAAAGAATCTTGAAAAACTGGTCTGTTATTAATAATTAGAGTTTTATTAACAACTGTTATTAAAAGCTTGTAATCTTGAGACTTAAATACCGTATTTTCTCTAATAGTAGTGCACCCTGAGCGTCGCCTAAATTGCTCGAAATCTCGAGAACCGCTTATCAGAACCTATCGATGGTTCTGAGCCTGAGCCTGGACCTGAGCTTAAGCCTGAGCCTGAGCCTAAGCCTGAACCTAAGCCTGAATCTAAGCCTGAGCCTAAGCCTCGAAATCTCGAGAACCGCTTATCAGAACCTATCGATGTGGGGTCGGAAAATGTAACTGACGATGAGATCTAGTTGGGGATTTGAGTGTTGAGCTTCTGCAAAAGCTTGGAAACCGTAAAATAGTCACCAACTCGGCTCGCCTTGGTGCACTACTATTAGAGAAAATACGGTATGTTTATCTTTTGCTCTAAATCTAAAATTAATAAGAGACTGATTTGATTTTTGAGGACTAATACGGTTTACCTGTTGTTAGTTTCTTTTTGGATTTATTTTCAGAATCAGGTTTTCTTTTGGAATAAACAACTGCTCAAATTATAGGAAAGTCTGCTTTTGGCTGAAATCTTTTTTTTTGATTCCTTGGCTAACCAAAACGAGCTCAAGGCTGTCATAAATGTGAATGATTGCGAGGATTTTGAGTGAAAACAGAGCTAGTGAAAAGGAATTTCCACTCAAATCAATGGTTTGCATTTTTAATAGCTATAGTTTTAAGGTGAATTCTTTGCTTTGTTGTTGGATTTAAAGATCATTCTCATCTTTTTCATCAAAATAAACTCTTACAAGTGAAAGTGAAAAAAAGTTAAAACGTTTGCATCTATAAAATTTCATCTATAAAGAATTCTCTTAAAGTTGGAACTGGTTTCTCAAAAAGTTAAGCAAAAAAACGATTCTCTTTACAAAGATTTTTTTTTGAACTTTCTCAACTTCTTGAGAGAAATTGTTATTGTTAGGGTTTTCTCAGAAAAATCATAAAATTGAGGGTTCCATAAAATTTGATTGTGATCGGAGAAGGATGAAAATTGGATTGAAAGATGGATTGAAGAGATGCTACGTGATACCTGTTAAGTATGGGATTGTACCCAAAATATCGTATTCGTTGAGAGATCGGTCTAACTGGTTCAGCCAACATTTGATATCGACTCGCATAGAGTAATCTCTTTGATTCAATGCGTCGAAGAGAGAGCTGAAAATGGAGGATTGAATGAAAAATGAAAAACAACTTTTTATGATCAAGTAAAGGTTGGTATAGCAGCTGATCATTTGGAGAAACTTTGAAAACATCAAAAGACAAGAGATTAAAGAAGAAAAAGCAATGCAATGCCTAATAGTAAGAAGTACTTTCATTTATTTACGTCAATTCTATTTTGCACTTGTTTTATCTGTTTTCTAAACGGTGCTAAAAGTTTTACTTTCTCACCAAAGAAATAGGGGTAGGCTAGTTTCCCAAATTCTACGTGATCTGGTTGACAGCATGCCAAGGAGAATTCATGCAGTAATTGCGGCTCGCGGAGGACCTACTAAGTATTGATTTCACAAACTTTACAATCGTTCGGCCAAGCTTTATGATTTTGGTGTCATTTTGTAGGCTATTGGGGTAGGCTAGTTTCCGCAAATTTCTTTACGCAACTGGGTCATTCGCGCAACTCACCATAACTTTTTTCTAAGTCGGTCAATCTTTATGATTTTTGTTTCATTTTGTAGATCTCAATAAGTGCAACAAAATGAAATCAAAATCATAAAGATTGGCCGAACGATTGTAAAGTTTGTGAAATCAATACTTAGTAGGTCCTCCGCGAGCCGCAATTACTGCATGAATTCTCCTTGGCATGCTGTCAACCAGATCACGTAGAATTCGGGGTCCAATAGTTGTCCAGACTCGACGGATGAAGTACCAAAGCTCCACTTTTGATCCGAATAGTTTCCCCTTCAATTTCGACTTCACAAACTTTACAATCGTTCGACCAATCTTTATGATTTTGGTTTCATTTTGTTGCACTTATTGAGATCTACAAAATGAAACCAAAATCATAAAGATTGATCGAATTAGAAGAAAGTTATAGCGAGTTGCGCAAACGACCCAGTTGCGCAAATGACCCTGTTGCGCCAAAAAAAATTGCGGAAATTAGCCTACCCCAAGAAATTAGATCAGTTGAGCTTTTCTGAAGATTCTTTTCCTTAATTTACTGCTTTATGGATTTCTTTATTTCTTTATATTTGCATAAATCTCGTTACTTTTTCATATCTTTTGATAATTTCTTAATCTTTGGTACCTTTGGGATTTGGATAAATGTTTTGCGAACGTATTGTGAATGAAAGGATCGTAAAGGCTTTCTAAAATCTTTCTTGATTTGTGCATAGTTTTTTCTGAATTGGTGAGTTTGAGCTATGAGCTTTGTTGTGTCGGAAAGTGCTTGAGGTTGTCTACACCCACGATTGTCATTCAAGCGTAGTTTACTCTAGACATCCCAAAAATTCATCCCAAATCCCAGAAACCAAGCTCAACTTTACTATTAGATCCTCTACTTTTTGAGGAGTAACTCATAAGTGGGTTGAAACGATCACCAAGCTGTCCACTAGAGGCTGCTGTACTTAGGTTTTTAAATTGTGGTGAGGCTCATTCCATGGAGGTGAGGCTCATTCCATGGAGGTGAGGCTCATTCCATGGAGGTGAGGCTCATTCCATGGAGGTGAGGCTCATTCCATGGAGGTGAGGCTCATTCCATGGAGCTAGTAGCTGATTCTCAAAATCTGATACTCAAAATCAGACAAAATGAGACATGATTATTTTATTGTGATCTATTTTGATCAAAATTTTAGTGATATTGTCATCCTCTAATCCTCTACTTTCGACAAACAAATCCAGTCTATCAAATCTAATACCAAAGTGATGATATCTGATTGAACTTGCTAAGCATCTATGATTCCTATTCCTTGTGCCAAAATGCTCAACTGCGCTTCATCAGCGATTTTTTCAATATTCCAGTTTATCTCTCTTTATTTTTGTGCGTCAATTTCCCCTTTCTTTCGCACCAGTTTTGCCTTTGATTGCATGATCTACGGAAGTGAATTTTTTTTTCATTCAAGCATTATCCCCATTTTCTTCAAAAAAATCAAGTTTTTCATGGCAGAAAATGCAGAACTTAGTCGTTTTTCTCTGGCAATAGATGAAAAAATTGCTAGCTCTATTTGCCTCGAGGCTGTATATTTTCTTCTCGCGAGGATCGGTCGATAACCATGAATGAGAGAGATCTACACTTGCAATCTGTGTCATTACGAAAGGCAGAGAAATGGGGAAAAGATGAAGAAGAAGAAGAAGAAGAAGAAGGGAAAAGCGGCAAAAGCAAAAGTGAACTGAAACTTCTCTTAAACGACAATAAGTTTTTTAGTGAAGCGTATTGCATCGATCAAGCATTGAAGGAATCAACCTTGTCAAGGAAAAAAAAGGAAAAGATTGAAGGGTTATCTAGCAGGATCAGAGAAAGGGAATTGGAGTTTAACGTACATAAAACTTTGTACAAAGTCTTCAAGCCTTGTCAGAGCTTAAAATAAAGCTGATTTACAGCTTTTATTCTATGGAAAAACGATCTTGTCTTGTCTTGCCAGTCGGTCTGGATCTTGTCAGTCAGCTATCGAAGGGTTGAACTGTGTCTGACAGTTGTTAAAGATCTTTTTGGCTTTATGGATTTGAAATATATTGTGAAGATAAAAGGATAAGTAGGCTATGTAAAACTTTAAAGCAAAATATTGCGAGCTGGAAGAATTTTTTGCACTCACTCCAGGCACTGTCTTGCTCGAGCGCCATTCGCCGATACCTCGAAAGAGATACTTTATAAGTCGAATCCAGAGATTGGTTATCCTCTGGAAAAAGCTCATTCCAAGCCCAGAATATGGTAAAGCTAAAGAATTAAAGTTGTGTTTTTTTTGATTAAAAAATGTTTAACTTGTTTCCGGATAAGCTGCGGGACTTGTGCCAACGACTCCGAAACTCCTCAAGTACACATCAAAGATGGGCCAATTCGAGAAATGAATGACAGTGGTGTTGAAAAGGGAAGACAGTGCTGACATGCAATCCTAAAAGAGAAGTTTTTGGTCGAGTTCTAAGCTCACATTCACATGGAAATCCACAACAATAATGTCTGGTTTTACAGTAGAGAGATAGTCTTGAAAATCGTCGCTTTTAGACAAAATATTGCAGAATTTTGCGGTTCTTGCATCGAAATCTTGATAAGCGATTAGGCCACGGATTTCGAAAGGAGAATTTCCATCTAAAGAAGAGAATTTTGAGAATGTTTGGATGCAAATTTAGGCAATTCTCACCAAAAGGATGGTAGGATTCCCAGAGAAAAGTTTGTGAGTATTCAGCGATAACATCTCCTAAAAAAATTTCGCTTATAAACCATTTGTTTGTTGATTTTTAGATGTAAAAGTATAATTTAAAGCTATAAAATCTTTGATAAGTGAAATTTTTATCTTACCTTCTGTATCATTACTTGTCAAAATGATTTTCCTCCATTCATCCGGCAGTTGAAACTCTTTTTCTACCAACTGGGAACACCTAGAGATTTGATTTGAACTTCAGGTTTAATTTGAAAGATAATATTAAATCAAATCAAACATTTAAACTAGTTAAACCGTAAAACAGAAGGAAAGTTTGGGATTTTAATGTAAAATCGTACTTTAGTTTGCATCCAAGTGACATTTGTTCCCAAGGGAAACGTTTCTCCGACTTCTCTCATCATTACATCATGTGAATAACAGCCAGATAATGGTAACACCAATACTTCAATACAATAAACCGATTGAATAAAAAGAAGTAAATGTAGTAAACATTTAAACTTTGGCATTTCCGTGAATTCTTTTGTTGATGTCTCTGGATTGAGGAGAACTGAAAAATGCTTAGAGAAATGGGGGCGGATCCTCACTATTTCTATCGTCTCACTACACTATTTCTATCGACCATACTAGAAATTTTTCTTTGACATTGAGCTGAGACAAAAAAATGCTAGATAATAAGGCTTATAAAATTTGAGTTTATCGTAAATCCTCTAATAGAAAGCCACCTTCTCGTACAGTCTAAATTCTTTTTAGAAAATCGTTTTTTTCTCAGCCCCTAGATATTTTCGACTACACTTTTAATACCAAAAAATACTAGATTTCAAGAGCTATAATTTGACATTAAAACGCAAATTGTATCATAAAGCAGTGGAGAGAACGGAACGTTCAAAGTTAGACTACGCGGCTGTACGTAGAGAACGGGACGTTCAACGACGTTAGACTACGCGACTGTACGTAGAGAACGGGACGTTCAACGACGTTAGACTACGCGACTGTACGTAGAGAACGGGACGTTCAACGACGTTAGACTACGCGACTGTACGTAGAGAACGGGACGTTCAACGACGTTAGACTACGCGGCTGTACGTAGAGAACAGAACGTTCAACGACGTTAGACTACGCGATTGTACGTAGAGAGCGGGACGTTCAACGACGTTAGACTACACTGTAAGTGACTATTATGATGTTCTATTAGAATATTTACGGTACGTTGAGTTCATTTCTGAATAAACTTAGAATTGTAACTGTCAATGTTAAGATTTTGATTTTGAATTGACTTTCAAAAGTTTTCAAAAAGTCAGATAAAGTGTAAAGAATATTGATAAATAGGAGAAGGTTCTTTATTCTTTACAAACAAAGAGAATCTTTTTTTTGTGGCAATTGTTGAATGAACATTTGCAAGCCAAGTTGCACATAGAACTTTTTCAAAGCCAATATGACTTTCTGACTTTCTTCTTTCATTTGGTCGTCGATAAGCGTTTGATAGGGTTGTTCAACTGAAATCTTGATGTACTTAAATTCTTATTTTTTTGTATTTAAATTGTTTAAACTTTAAAACTAGTTAATATTTTGGCAATTTAAAATCCTAAGTACAGTATTACGTAATATGAAATGTCTTTAAATTCAGTTGAACTTGTTCAGTTGAAGTTGAAGGTTGTGCAGTGCGTGAGAGGGTACCGATGCGGCAATAATTATTTGGATATGTATCCCGAATATAGCACAATCACTAATCTAGTGAGAAAATACAATAAATAGAATCAATCGTTGGTTCAGTGTGTCAAAACCAAAGAAAAGCAATACAAAGTGGGCTTCGTCCCCTTTTATCACACAAACGATCTTTAGAGGAAGGACAAGAGAATCAGAGATATTTAAAATCAAAGCATCAAATAAGATTTCATAGAAAAGAGCTACTTTTCTGCACAAAGGTTTTAAGCTTGGTTAGTTTGTATTCTTGTAAGGCTATCTTTGTATTCTTTAGTTGTTTTAATTAGTAATTTTCAGTAGTTTTTAAATAAAAAGAATCATTGCTAAACTTAGTAACAAAAAAATTCATAATTACTGACCGATTTGATAGTTGATTTCGGTGATAGCTCGGTTGAATGAGACTCGTTTCTCTTTTTGAACAAAACACATTTTGACGATTTTCCCTGATTCTGAAATGTATTAGTTGTTAAAGGTTTAAGTTGATATTAGAAAATGAAAAATTTGAAATGTTAGTCACTGATAAATTAACAAAAGAAAGTGATATGAATTCTTGAAAATATCACCCTTTATATACTCTAAAAGATTGCAGGTTGTGACGCTGATCAAGCATTTACCGCGATTTACCGCAACTCTTATCACTCCTTTGCATGAATTCCTTTTGTGAATCACTCAAAAAGTATCTGATACGTCAATTTTTACAAAATTTTCTGAAAATTGAGTCAAGTTAGCAATGTTTATACGTAGAAAAGAGTTTTGTGTGGCTATTTTTAGTCTTCCGAATGACTAAAAATAGACGTGTTGAGGTTTTAAAAAGGCTGGAAGTCATTTTCAGCTTAAAATTTGTATGCATTTTCCACTAGATTCTACTCTTTATGTTTTCGTAAACTCTTTGACGCAATTCTACTTTAGTGAGTAACTTTGTTACATGTCAAAGCCTTAAATGTTTTAGAAAGTGCGTTAATTTAAAAAAAAAATCCAAATGATTTATATATATGTTGTGTCCGATTTAGATTTCCGTCCGATTTAGATTCAATCTAAATCTTATATAGATTGAACAATAATATAAACATGCTTAATATATGTTCTTAAGCGTTTTCTGTAGTTTTCTGCATTTTTCAAAGGTCTGTTACTGTCTTTTTCTGAAAAGAAAACCCAACTATAAAAAAAAAGGTCAAAAAGGTCCTCCATCTGTAAAAAAGCAGCATTTAATAGGAAAACAAGAAAACAAAAAATTCTCAAAAAAAGACAATAAAATTTCTTTGAAAAGCGCAGAAAATTGCAAAAAAACGCTTAAGAACATATATTAAGCACGTTTATTATTGTTCGATCTGTATCGGACGTCCGATATAGACTGTAATCAATAAAAGACCTTTGAAAAATGCAGAAAACTACAGAAAACGCTTAAGAACATATATTAAGCATGTTTATATTATTGTTCAATCTAAATAAGACGTATTATTGTTCAATCTATATAAGATTTAGATTGAATCTAAATCGAACGTCCGATATAGACTGTAATCTAAATCGGACGGAAATCTAAATCGGACACAACATATACATAAAAAAAGAGAACAAAATCCAGAATAAGCTGATTTTTAGCAATTGAGAATGTTTTGGATTGATGAACAACAATGGAAAATGAAAGAAATGAAAAAAATTGGTAATAAAGTTACAGAGTTTCAAAAAACAACAACTTTATAGTTCAAATTATGGTTCAAAATAAGCTAACAGAAAGCACTTTTAAGCACTTTTACTCATGTAATTTTACTGTATTTAGTATAAACTCATGAAATCAGCAACGGAAAAATTCTCTCATTCTACCAGCTCTAATTTGCCAACAATCGGTGTGCATTTCTGGGAAGAGATACGCGATTTAGTTGATTCAATGCCAAAGCGAATCCAGGAAGTCATCAAAGCCAAAGGTGGACCAACGAAGTATTAAAAATTTGGTAATTTCTATGTTTTTTTTGTTTTTTACAAGACTTTTGAGCATCAAAAATACGCCCGTTTTTTGTTTTTATTTGTTTTTCTTAATTTTTGTTAATCGTTTCACTAAAGTTTTTCTTGCATATAAAAATAGAAGTTTTTGACAACTGAAAACCAAAAACTGTTTGGGAATTCGCCTCTTTGCAAAAAAGTTATTACACTTTGAAATTTGCTAAACTGGATGTTACAAGACTTTTGTGCATGACTGTATATGCTTTATTCAGTTGAATAGCGACAAAACAAGATCACAATAATCACCCAGGACACCACTCAAAACACACCCAAAAAGAAAAAAAGATACCTCAAGAAAGAATCACAGAGCAGCCAAATCAATTGTCAAATCAATTTCAAGCGATTTGTAAATTTGTTTGTAATTTTAAACTTTATTTGTTTTAGCCAAAGATTGTACTTTCGTTTTACAGATGTTGACACTCAGAAAGCGACATATATTAAAATATTCTGCACTCACACTTTTCAATGATCACCCTTCGAAGAATGAGCTAAAGCTTTTCATAGTAATTAGTTAATTTGAGGATTCTACCCGTCTCGTTTCAACTCCTAATCGAAACACGATCTCTGCATCAGAAGTACTCGTATCCATACATCGAGCATTCTCAGGTATTGTCTAAAAATAAAGCATAAGGCCCTATTCTGGCGGCAAAGGACACGTGTCGGTGAAGTTGGTGAAGTTCTTTGGTAGAGTGTTCGCCCGGTAAGCGAGAGGTCGCGGGTTCGAACCCCGGCGCCGACGATGTTTTGTATTCCCAGCCACAACCCATAAAAGAACTGGCGTGTCCAACTGTGCTGTTGCTAATCAAGTGACAAACGTATAGTCATAAATACCGTACTTTCTCTAATAGTAGTGCACTCTGAGCGTCGCCTAAATTCCTCGAAATCTCGAGAACCGCTTATCAAAACCTATCGATGTGGGGTCGGAAAATGTAGCTGACGATGAGATCTTTCGAGGGATTAGAGTGTTGAGCTTCTGCAAAAAGCTTGGAAACCGTAAAATAGTTACCAACTCGACTCGGCGGGGTGCACTACTATTAGAGAAAATATGGTAACAGTGAAATAAATTGTCCAACCTTTTCGTCATCTTCAAATCGACAAATACCAATGTCCAATCTCGGCAAGTCAACAGCTGATGGAACATCCACAAAATAGGTATCACGCTTGCATTTCTGAATCTTTATGTATCTTTATGTAAAATTTTGTGAACATAGCTTCTTGATTAGAAAACAAAGCTAAAATGACACAAAACATCAAAAACATTTCTAACTTTAGTGTCAGTGAGTGACTCCATTTTGTCAGCTACAGCTGTCAGCACTTACCCAACTACAAGTGTTTCCTCTTTGACGGATAAGTACAGTCATGTCACCGTACTAAATTCACGAATGAGATAATGACAAATCATTTAAATAATAAGGAAATTTAACCTGAAATCCCATAATCTGTTCATTGTCATAGGGAACCCTCGGAAAAGCGTAGATTGAATATTTTCCACGAAGTGAGCTAAAGGAAGAAAAACATTAAGTACTGTTTTATCTAGAAGTTAAATCTTACTGAAAAAGTTATTGTAAATTTTTTCATTAGCTACCTTTCTGGACTCTGAACTTGACATCCGAATCGTATCTCATCGCGGTGATCATAAGAAAATGGGGCAATACACAGATTACGCTAAAAAAACTTTGAAGCTGAAAACTAAACTCAAAAAGTACTTCTATATCTCCATGATAATCTTGAGCCAATGTCAAGATACCATTCTTTGAATAGAGCAGTGTTCCGAAGATTCCAATCTTTCTACTATTTGGCATCATGTGTATGACAAATGTCGAATCGATAAGATCTTGTTCTTGAAATCTTGATTCGCAAACTTGGTGAATATCAAAAATTGATCCTTTTCCAAATTTCTGACCAATCGATTGAATGCGGGAAATGTGAGAGTAACGTTCGAAAGCCCAGAGATCATCCTAATGAGTGAAAGAGTTTTGTTTTTGAACTGATTGGATGAAGCAGCTGAGGTGTAGTTTAATCGGAAACAAGAAAATGTTAAAACTAACTCGAATCTCTGCTTTTATGTTCATTGTTCCATAAACAATGATTAGATGAAGCTCATGAAATTGCGCGAAACGGCCTCTCTCGATTAGAGTGAGATTTTCTCCAAGGACTTGACATGATGTCGAAAAGAGTAGAAAAGAAAGAGTGACAAGGGAATTGAAAGTTGAAAGTTTCATTCTTTAGCTATACTTTTATGATCAGGCTATCTATCTCCAGTTGACCTTCAAGATAAACATCTGCTTAGTGAGGAGATCCGAGTGCTATTGCAATTATTATTGCAAAAACATTAGGTTTGTTTAGACAATACCATTCCACGCTCTTGCTTTTTAAGATTTTCTTCAATAAACAATTGCTAATTAGTGTAAATGGAAGGAAAAATTGGAGATTCGGGATTGATAGAGGTTGAGAAATCATTCTTAGCCATTCTTTTCCTTGTTCAACACAAAACATTTGTTGGTGACAAGCTCTGCAAAAAAATTTGAAGATTAATGTCCGTTTGGCAGATCATTTGATCTCTATTTGGTACAGACGCAAATTTGGGTCGATGAGCGAAATGAGCCTTCTTCTTTGATCAAATCTAAACACCGTACAGAGTTAGGCACAATTATAGCAACTCGGTTTTTCGACTGTAACTCGTCGCCCAATTATTCAATTCCCCTAATTTCATATTTATATGAAATTCCAAGTTAATTTCTGCGGTCATGGTCAAGTTTTAGTTCAGAAACACAGTGTTAGACTTTTTATAGCACTTCAAAGTTTAGAGGCGACAACCTCTCGGCAGAACCTCTCATTGTTTCAATAGTTTTCAACTCTCAAGAATTGCCCACAAATCAACCAATTCTTTTAGCTTTTTTTCTTTGTTTTTAGCTTTTTCTAAAAAATAGGATTTAAGTTTTTAGAAAAAGCTTTTTAACCCATTCGAAACTTCTGCAGCGAATAATCGCTGCAGCAAAAACTCAGGAACGGACCGCTGCAGCGATTATTCGCTGCAGCGCTAATTAAAGCTATTTTCATTCAATTAATTGGTTTTTTTTGCTGTTTTTCAGCATTACATGTATATTCTAATTGTAACAGATCTACAAATTACGTGGGCAAAAAAGACGTGTCATGTTTACCCGGAATCAATGCAGCCTCTGATTTGGCATTGAAATGTTCCATAACAGCTCTAATCTTATAAAGCCGATCTCCTGCAGGATCCAGTTCAGTATCACAAAAATGCAGGTTTTGAAGAATAGATTCAAATTTTGCTCTTGACATAATGTGGGAAATGTGGGAAAATCCTCCTGATCCAGGCCTTCTACTCCAGTAGTCACGAATCCTCGGTAATTTGACGATTCCCATTTGAAGATACAGAGCCAAGAAGAGCTTGAAGGATTTTGCATCGAAATCCTGCCAGTTTGTTTTCCTTTTTCCATGTTCATTAGATTCGCCTACTAAAATATTGTCGTCGATAAAATAAGAATAATAATCGATAGGATCTTGAAAAGTACTGAAATCAAATCCAACTCGTTCTTCATCAAAAATAAATGGTGTAGAAGACTCTCGTAAATCTTTCCAACCATCTCGATAAACTGTTTCGGACGCATCGTCATCCTCTTCCTCGGATTCGCTTGAACTTGATGAAAATACTTCTGGTTGAATTAGTCGATCATCTGATCCACCAATAGACTCCAAATCACTGTCAATAAATAAATTATTGAAAGAGTCGTTCAATTCGTCATCCATAACGCTATTTAAAAGAAGAATAACTTAGATATATAGAAATTATCAGAAATAATATTAAAAAAAACGTCAGCAAAAAAAACCGCGGGAACGGACCGCTGCAGCGAAAAAATGTCAAAAAAGGGCTTGGTCCGCAGACGAAAAAAAAGAAAAAACGCTGCGGTTTCGAATGGGTTAACAAACTACCTCTCAAGACGTCGATTTCCCGGGTGATCAAGTAAATATCATCGAAATCTCATCGAAATTTCTCAATTCCTCAGTGGAAGTTCAAGAAAAGAAATCGTCTCGACTGAAGCTTCCTAGTAGACCATATCCGGCGAAAAAAATCCTGATTTTGAGCCTTGAACGAGCACTTTGTTGATTTGAAACGGGTACTCCAGCCGAAGAAAAATCAGTGCTAAATTGGGCATCTGTTTTTTCAGTCTTTCAAAGTCTGATTCTCTTTGCATTTTTGTGTTTTAGTTATATTGTTTCCATAGAACGTTTTGTTTTTTGTATTTTTTGTATTTTTTTCCATAGAACAGGATCGTTTGTTTTTACAGAAAATTTTTAAAAAGGCTATTTTTTGTGAGTAATATTAAATATTAAAGAATGTTATGTAAGTAATATTAAAGAATGTTATGAAACTCTAGAAATTCCTACTTCTTATTATAAATAATCTTATTTGAGGATGCATTTGATGAAATTGTATTTTCAAATAGAGGAGCTGCTTCTCCCATAAAAAGAGAAGATTATAACTAATGAAGAGGAAAATATGTATATTGTCAATTAAATGGCTTGTAAATGCTGGTGGTGTGTTGAAAGCCTAAATAGCCTAAAAACTGGTAAATATTAGGATTTTGGAAATTATTGCACAAATCTGCTCGGTTTTTATCATTTTTGGGGGGTGGGACAAATGCGACCTTTTTTTTGCGCACCTGGACATTTGCGCACCTTTTTTTTTGCTGGAAAAGGTCGTAGAGCTTCGAAAATATTTCCATATAAGGGAATCGTCTGCGTAGATTCCGAATTTCGACAAATCAGACCTCGCTGACACGTCAAATTTGGGCTAAAAGGCAAAAACTGCGGAAAAGCGTTAAGTTGCGTAGTTTTTGCATTTTAGCCCAAATTTGACGTGTCAGTGAGGTCTGATTTGTCGAAATTCGGAATCTACGCAGACGATTCCCTTATATGAATATATTTTCGAAGCTCTACTACCTTTTCCAGCAAAAAAAAGGTGCGCAAATGTCCAGGTGCGCAAAAAAAAGGTCGCATTTGTCCCACCCCCCATTTTTGAAAATCACGAAGGTTTAAAGTCCATTTTTCTTCCATTAATCAAATAAAGTCCATTTTTCTGTTCAACACTATTATTCTCAAACTCGTGTATCCCTATTCTTTCCGCCTGTTCTTAATTTATAGACCCCCGGATATTTCATTTTCAGCCACAGCGTCTATTTTTAACCTATTAGCTCTTCATTTTCACGAATATGATTGCAACATTCTCTTGGGCGATTTAAATTGTGAAATCACGTGGAGAAATTCGATCCCGTATACGCTTTGTATCACAGGCCTTCATTGATGCTTAAAGATTTTATGATTCTTAACGGTTTACATATTTTCAATCGTTTTCCTACTTTCTTGCGCTCACTCTTTACTTTAGATGTCGTGATAGCAAATGATGGGAGACGAATTCGGGATGTCAAGAAACTTGCGCCTCTTCCTGGAGCCGATCATAACGCCATCAGCCTCAAAATTTTGATCAACCAGCCCGCCCCTATCAACAAGAAGTCCAGGTGTTTTCATTTTTGTGCAAATCTCGATAAGGCGGCGTTAGCTTTTTATCCAATACTAAATTCTACATCTTTTTATGACACCAATAATGATCTAAACACGGATTATGACATTTTCACAAGTCTCTTCTTAAAATCCATTGAGCAAAGTTGTCCTCATAATTTCAATAGATGTCCTTCACACATTGCTAGGGCTAAACTTAGGCTAAACTGTTTCCTAAACTCATCTTCTTCTGGGAATCCTTTAGATGACCCTTCAATAAGAAATGCCCAAGTAAAACTATCCCGTTTTTGCAAGAAATTCGAGCAAAATCTTGAAAGACGCGCCATTAGATCACAAAATTCTAAGCATTTTTTCAGTTATATAAATTCCAAGTCTAAAGAACATAAAAACTTGCCCAAAGCTTTTGTAAACCCAAATAAACTAAATGAACTTATAACTGAACCAAAGGAAATTTGTGATTTTTTTGCTCAATTCTTTCATTCAACCTTTCAACCTTTAAATGTTCCATTGGCCATAAACCCACCAAATCTAGTTATTACTAAAAGTTTCCCAGACCAACCAAGCTTCCTCATAACACTCTTAGACATTGAAAACGCCTTTATGAAACTAAAACCTAAAAGGAGTGTTAGCCCCGATGGTATATCCCCATTTTTCGTTAAGGGTCTTTCCAGAATTCTAGGTTATCACATTTGCAAAATGTTTAACAGAATTTTGATCGATGGAGAAATCCCTCTCAAATGGAAAGAATCTTTCGTTATACCATTATCAAAATCTTCCCCTAAAAATCATTTCTCAAACTACCGACCCATTAGCTTGACCTCACCCCTATCCAAACTTTTTGAAATTATCCTTCATAATAAAATAATCAGTCATCTAAACATGAACAATCTTTTATCCGAACAACAATTCGGCTTTTTGGAAAACAAATCCACAGTTGACCAATTGCTTTTATCTTAGAGATTTTGTCCGGGCTATAGAGAATAACCACAAAATGCAACTTGATGCTATTTTTCTCGACTATGCTAAAGCCTTTGATACTGTCCCTCACTCCTTTCTGATTCATAAGCTTAAGAAGTATAAAATTTGTCCGAATGTTATAAAATGTATCACCTCCTGGCTCACAAATAGCTCTTTTAAAGTCTCGGTAAATAATTGCATGTCTGATTCCTATGCCTGTACTAGCGGAGTGCCCCAAGGAAGCATTTTAGGACCTCTACTTTTTACGATTTACATCAATGATTTACCTAATCTAAATCTAGCCTCACATTTCTCCAAGATATGGCTCTATGCCGACGATACTAAGCTAATTTTTGAGACTCCATTAAATGATATAAATAAAAACTTGGGTAGCTCCTTTCTAGATCTGAGCACAGTTGAAATTTGGTCCAATATTTGGGGTTTAAAAATTTCTCACTCAAAATCTATTCATTTTAGGACAGGTAAAATAAAAGTCCCCCTTAAAATTGGTGATGCCGCAATAAAGTCCATAGCTAACAATGAATCTCTTCGCGATTTAGGAGTATACATATCACCTCCTCTAAATTTCTCTACACACATAGAAAAAATATGTAAGAAGGCGTCCTTTTGTGCGGGCAAAATTCTTAGATCTATTTGCATACCAGATATTAATATATATAGGAAATGCTTTATTATCAACGTTCGCCCGATCCTCGAGTATGCTTCTTTAATTTGGTCACCTATTTCTAAATCCCTAAGCGATCAAATTGAAAACGTTCAGAAAAACTTTACTCGAATAGCACTATTCAAAATTGATTTTGCTAACTACTCATCCGTCAGATATAAACATAGATTGAAACTTTTCTCACTTGAAACCTTAGAACAACGCCGTCTTATCATAGATTTGGTTGAGTGCTTTAAAATTATAAAAGGAAAACATCAAAACCCTCTTTTTAAAAAATTTTTTCGACTAAACTCTAGGCTTTTGGCGACTAGGCGTGGCTCTTTTATCTTGCATCCCGAATCTGCTTTCTCTAAATTCTCTAGAGCTTTTTTCGTAAATCGTGTGATTAAAGTTTGGAAGGCCCTTCCCGACAAGTTGCGTTTGATCTCCACTGTGTCTGATTTTAAAAGGGCTATTTCGTTGCATTTTAAGTGACTTTTTGATCTTTTATCTGGTACGTTTTTCATGTCGTTTTCGCACTTTATTTCTTTCTAAATAAACTATTTATATATATAAAAACTTATTTCAGCAGAAAATCGAACACTTCTCAATTCTTCACTCGATTTGCAGAAAACATGGGAGCTCGACATAGAAAAAGGTAACATTTCAACAATTCGTAGTTATTGGTTGTAAACTAAGTCTTGACCTTTTCTTAAATTGCTAATATCTCAGCATAGGATCAATATGTTTAAATGGAACTTTAAACAGATTATTCTCAAAAGCTTTCAAGCTTAATGCTAAAATTATAAAGTTATTCAGCGATTAGTGATCAAGTTATAAGAAAAAACATGGTGCTACTACCCCTTTTTGGCCTTTTTCCATACAAAATAAGTTCACGTAAGTTAGAAAGTTTAGTTAGAAATTCAGGTCAATTCCTTTTAAATCAATGTTTCGAGTCGTGTAATTCATTTGGTAAAAACTTAAGGCTTTGGTCAAATAGAAAAATTAAATTTTCAGCGATTGGAACGGACAGCTAGATAAAGTTTAGCCTTCTTAAAAAATAAAATAAACTTTGCTAAGTGTTTTGAAACTTTTTTAGAAATTGTCTACATTATTCTGGTTTTAAATGTAGTAGAACAGAATTTGGATTGTTTCTTTACGTGTTCGTATTTTTGAATTTAACATTAGAGGTAACAGATTGCTCTCGCCCAGTCTTTTTGCTATAACTTGATCACCAATCGCTGAATATCTTTATGATTTTGGCATTAAGCTTGTAAGATTTTGAGAATAATCCGTTCAAAATTACATTCAAATATTCTGATCCTACGCTGAGATATTAGCCAGCTAAGAAAAGGTCAAGACTTAGTTTACAACCTAATAAAATAAAACTAAAACTAATCGCGGCCTGTGAGCTTTTACACTTATATTGACACAAAGCTTTGATACTGATATTGGTCCTCGTAAACAAAGATATCTTCAAGTTATAGGCGTGCAGAGAAGTCAAAAAATGCTCAACAATCCACTACTGATGAGTCAAATGTCATGGATGATGCGAAGACAGTGACTGTCGCAGTTCACCAACTCTTCGAGCGATATGCAAACAAACCAGCTGATAACCTTGGACCAGACAGGATTGGACCACATGGGGTCTTTGCATTACTGGAGGATCTCGGACTTGCGCCAACCGATCGTAAAGTGTTGATCCTTGCCTGGCTTTTGAAAGCAAAGATTCAATGCGAATTTACGGCCGATGAATGGAATGATGGCCTGGTAGCTCTGCGGGTGGTGTCAATTGATGATCTCCGTATGGTTCTTGAAAAAGAAGAAAGGATTTTGGAGAAAGATACCTCTAAACTGAAGGCACTTTATCGATTCACTTACACTTTTGGAAAACCCGAACATCATCGGAAAATGGATTGCGAGACGGCGATCGTTTATTGGAAGATTCTATTTGAAGATCGCTATGCTTTGCTCGATGTTTGGATATCATTCTTGCGTGTTCAACAGATTGACGCAATCAAGAGCGATATCTGGAATCTGGTGTTAGAATTTTTCGAACAAGTTGACGCAAATCTGTCAAACTACGATGATGAAGCAGCCTGGCCAGTGCTGTTGACCGACTTTGTTGAACATATACGCAAAGAGAAGTGTACCGTCGGAACTGCTTGAGTAAAAAATCTGTAAAAAGCAACTTATTCAGTCTTTCTGATTCAACTTTGCGTGTAAGAATTTAACTTTGTATTTTTCGATTCAAGACTCATTTCTCGTCATATTGCTAGTCATAAAATACGATTTCTTTTCTATCTTCACATGATTCTTTAAATGTTTTTAAAGTTTATAAATTCTTAAACTTAAAATAAACAAATAAAACTTTTAAGAATTGCACTAAACATGGCCAAAAATGCATAACAACTAGACGATCTGTAAAAGCATTTGAAACAAATACGATGCACTTGGCTTACTTGCAAACTTGTAACTCTACAGGGTTTTCCACAATTATGGTGACAAAATATCAACAAAAGCTTATCGATCTTATTTTGTCAAAACAAATAGTAATAACAACCTTTTTTTGATTTAAAACAATTGTAAAAAGATTTAAAAAATATTTAGAAGTCAAAATGGCCAACATTAGCATTAATACGTTTTCTTAAGCGCTTTGGGAAATCATCAATGGCTTTTTCAATGGTGCTGATAGAGATTTCGTTCTATGCCTTGATTAAATCTCGTTCCAAGGAGTCAATTGAATTGTGGGCTTTAGCAAATGCCTTGCTTTCAAGAATCGACGATATTGAGTAATCTAAGGGATTGAGATCGAGCGAGTTTGATGGCCATTCGCCTGGGCGTTGTTGACTGATGTCCACGGTGATGAAATTTGGGAAGTTATTGGAGATCCAATCTTGTGTATCAACAGCCTGGTGAAATGGAGCACCGTCTTGTTGAAAATGTCTTTTTATTCCTTTTCGGGTTTTCATTCCGGCTGTTTTGAGGAATTGGGGAACCAAAGTTTTTCCAACACCAACAGACTTGACCATTTTTCGAACAGAATTCTTTGAGGAATTGGGGTTCCTTTTAAGTCAATCAAAACCTTTCGACGATTTGTTGAATTGTTGGCAGTCTTTGGTGGAGCTTATCCTTTACGATCTTCAATGAAGCTTGATTTTTCTTGACTTGACCATTTTTCGAACTGAATTCTTCGAGGAGTTGGGGTTTCTTTTGAGCCAATCAAAAATCTTTTGTTGAATTGTTGGCAGTCTTTGGTGAATCTCGTCCTTTACGATCTTCATTGAAGCCCGTTTCTTTGAAACGCTTCAGAGCACGAAAAACATTCTGTCTCTCTTCCTGCAAGATTCGAGATATCTCTGCGAGTGTTTTTCCTTAATGAAGAGTAATAATAGCTGGACGCAGCTCTTTCTTAGACTTCATACCTAAACAATCAAATCATCGAATTTATAAGAAGAAAAAAAGACAGAAAGCAGGTAAACGTATTAAGATGCGCGTCACGATAATTATGGGACACCCTGTAAGTTATATAACAAAATGCTCGCAAGAAAACAGGCTTTCAAATGAGCCAAAAACCATAACAATTCATTATCAAAATAATTAGATAATTTGAACTTTTCTGCAAGTGACTGCGGAATTTTTTTAACAATCTAGTATGATGTTTGGGTAAGAGTGGGTGTATCGAAAAAGAAAACATCGAGCAGTGGCCAGGATCATCAAACCCAACAAAACAACTGCCATCTTATAGGTTTCGAAATGAGAAGTTCCAAAAATCGCTCTATCAAACATTCTCGAACTCCTATTGGAAGAATTGTGTAGAGAAATTTGTGCACTTTCACTGCAATCAGCAACAAGAAGATCTCGACTTCGCTAATGTGCAGAAATAACTCGTACAGAGCCAAGATTATAGAGAACACAGCCTTTTGAGTTTTGATGTATCGTTTTTTGCATGATTTATAATTTATATTTGTTTATCCAACAAAATCTCCGTTATTTTCCAATACTTGGGTCCATGCGTAGTTTTGTTTCATGAGGTTTTGCTGCCCCTACGGACCGAAATCCTTGGGATGAATCCAAAAATTCACAGCGGTTCCCTTCAGCACCCTTTTACAGGCACTTGGGATCCCATTTTGACCGGCAGAGAACCTGCCATAATGGTCAAAATGAGCCGGAACTGGGTTGACCAGTTCTACAGCCGAGGTTAGTTTTGGGAAGCGGTGACCACATGGGGCAGACAACGGATTGGTTACCGGATGACCCAAAATGGACGCTTCCGATTTCAACATTGAAAAGGGGACTATATGAGCAAACATGAAATGCCAGATCGAGCGCGATTGTGCTCGCGCACAGGGAACACCGAGCCATTTTTTGCATTTTCAAGTTCAAAAACTCTTGAGCTTGAAATTTTTAAACAGTAAAATGGTACCAGGATTGATGATTGATTTACATTTAATTACATTACATTTAATTAGCCGATCATGTTGTCGATAGCAAACAGATCTCCTATCAGGTGGGGTAGAAAAACTCTCTAAAACGTTGGTTTTAAAAGGTTTAAGCGTTCTTTCGCGGCATTCACATCGAGTTTTCCGTGATCTGATTCGAATCCTTTTTCTCATTTCAATCGATTTCATCAACTCCTGTTTCAGGCCATGTTCGCGACTCGCGATGTTCCTTTTCAGTCTCCACCTCATCGACTTTAATTACTTTCCTCATCGAACCCTATCGACAATAGCAAGAGTTATTTATGTCTTTTCTAAAGGTTCTTTTCTCCAGATTCTGAGTTTGATTTCGATAATGTGCTTTTTTTCTTATAGTTTCATTTTATAATCCTTGCTCCTCTATAAGAGACAAATAGTGCGACTCTGTGTATATCCCTCCGTCTGTCCGGGTCGTTTCTCAACAAGGATTAGCCCGATCGAGCTGAAAATTTGACAGCATATCTAACTTTTTATTTGTTTTATTTGCTATTTTTTGATGCCTTCAGCTGTTTTTCATAAAAGTGTAAAAAGTTACTTTTTTGGTGATTTTTCTCAGTCCAGAGTTACATGAAGAAAACTTTTTTTGGCTCAAAAGAAAGCTCAGAGCCTCTAGATTATAAATATAATATTAGCTTTTAAACATTAAGTTTTTGAATTTTAAAACTCAAAAAACTGAGCGCGAGCCGAAGAAAAATGCTCTATCTGGGTAGCCGGTCTAACAAAACTGTTAGAGTGGTCTAACCAAGGAAAGTCCAGGTGTCCGTGATCTTTTAATACGAAACCAAATTCATCTTTTAGAATCGACTACGCTGATTTCGAATCCGTTTTGAGTTTTTGCCCTAGAGGCCTGTAATGTGAGGTATCTGGGTTACAAGTTTTAGACTTCCTTACTTGAGTTTTTCTCAAGAAGTCTCCGGTAGATTTCGAATACAGATCCGAACCTGATCTGGTTTATAAACTCTAGAAACCGGTTGGAACATCATTTATTTAAGTGGCCTTTAAATTGTCTGTAACTTTTGCATAAAGTAATGTTGCATCCATTTTATGGCATCCTTGAATAGGTCTAACAAATTCCAGGGTTCAAAAGACAAAGGAACTCTTCTAAAAGTAACACTTGATCGAGACTAATTTTGACTTTTAAAGGAACAAAAGTTTAAATTTTAGCAAATCATTGGTATTCTCTGCTTCAATTTGTGGTTTCAGGTACAAAAATCTTCTACAATAAATTTATTCATACAACAACCGATTGAGAAAATTTTTGAGAAACAATCTAAATATTAAAACAAAATTACTAGGATGAAGAATTGTTTTTGAAGAGATCGAGCTTGAGCCAATGACAATCCCTGTTGAGCGGCTTCTTCCAAAAGGAGAATATATCAGTTCTAAAGTTGGATTAAAAATTTCAAGTCTTTTTGAGAGAAAAAACAACCTGGAAAAGCTAAACCTCAAAAGCTGATAACAAAATTGAAATTGATCGAATTCTTGAAATGCTAATTCTTCTTTTAATATCATCTGTATTAACTCTAGAAAATGTCATCAAACTAGACAAAAAGAGTCCATCTTTTGCAATTCACAGTGGGAAACTAAATCGATTGGGGAATATTTCGATCATTGCCTGTAAACGATGTGATATTTTGGTCGATTACACACAGAGGAATTGTTTGAATGAACCGATGACACAAAAAGTTTGTGAAATGATGAGAATAGAAATTAGGGAAATGAATCTTTTGATTGGGAGAACTTCAGCCATACAATTGCAGTAGATTTTTAGTAGATTAGTAGATTTTTAACACATTTCCGACTAGCTTTTTTTGCCTTTCCATCTTTCATAAAAAGTTCAAGCGACCAATAAACTTATAGTTGATTTTAAAAGAAAGGAAAATGTTCACGGAACATTTAAATATAAACAGATCGAAAAAAGATTTAGTTTGAAGAAAGTTATGAACCTTTGAATGTAAATAATAGCGTGACCTAGTAGTCACGTAGTTTCCTGCCTTAAAAGGTTCGTAACTTTTTTCAGAATGAATATTTTTGCAATTGGTTTGTAAATAAATTTTCCTTGAACATTTTCATTTCTTTTCAAATCAATCAAAGTTTATTGGTCGCAAACTTTTTTATGAAAGATGGAGAGGCAAAAAAAACTCGTTGAAATGTGTTAAAGGGAGGTCCGCATGACCATAAATTTTTTTTAAGGCAACCACCTGCTTTTATATTTTTCTATTGCTAATTTTATTATAAAAAGAATAAAAATCATCCGGCTAGAGCGATTTGATGGGTTTACAAATTTTTGGAGAAGTTGCAAGGCTCGCGTAGTTCATCTACAAGGTGATTGCGAGAGTAAAGCAAAAGTCACACACTTGGAGTTGCAGTTGTTGCAAGTTGCAAGGCTTGGAGAAAAGCAAGATCGTCACTCATCAGGCACGAATTATTGCTGTCATTTTCGATCCATTTGTTGTCTATTCAGTTTTTCTTGTCCTCTTTTTTGACCGCTCGGAAGTTTTCCACAATCTGGGCATCTTTGTAATATTTTCTCCGACTTCAACAATAACAAATGCTGGCTTTTCGATAAGCTCTTCTTCCTCCTCCTTCTTCTTCCTCCTCCTCCTTCCTCCTCCTTCTTCTTCCTCCTGTTTAGAAACCCTAAAAATCTTTTTATGATGAGAAAAAAACCAAAAGTATAGTTTAGAAGTCTAGAGAAAAGAAAAAGAAAAAATAGTGCGTGACAGCAATAATTCGTGCCTGGTGAGTGACGATCTTGCTTCTCGCAACTTTCAACAACTGCAACTCCAAGTGCGTGACTTTTGCTTTACTTTGGCATTTACCTTGTAGATGAACTTCGCGAGCCTTGCAACATCTCCAAAAATTTGTAAACCCATCAAATCACTCTAGCCGGATGATTTTTATTCTTTTTATAATAAAAATAGCAATATAAGAATATAAAAACAGGTGGTTGCCTTAAAAAAAATTTTTATGGTCATCTGGTTGCGATTTTTATCGTCATGCGACCGTCAAAATCTTTAGCACATTTCGACGAGTTTTTTTGCCTTTAATTAATAAATAAATTAATACTCTTTAATTAATACTCTCTCTTTTGGATGTGTTAAAGCTGATAACTTGATTTAAAACTCTTCGCTTCAGGAATATTTGAATAAGAGGCGACAAACTCTTTGTTTTGATCCACTTCCAATTACAATCAATGAAGAAATGCTAGATAATGGGCAATGTGTGGAAAGTTGGTGAGTGAAAAAGTAAATTTCATGTTCATTTTGAATAATAAATTAAAATAAAATGCAAGAAATTTGGAAATGAAATGAATATAGTCCAGAAAATTTGAAAAATTGAAACTTATTTGAAAATTGAAATGGCATAAATTTGTTTTTAATGATTAACTTTTAAAAAAAGCTAGAGACAATGGTTTTTCAAATTCAAAATTCAAAGAGTTTTAATTTAGTCAAACCTCTTTAGGCCAAGTGAAATGCTAATTTTATCCATTTTATGGTCTTAGTTTAGTCTAAATTTCTTTTCTTTTGAAAAAAGTTATTTTTTAGTTTAGTTTTTGATGATTTCAAGAAACAATTCTATTGGGTTAGTGAATTGAAAACTGCCGGCTATTGTTATATGTCACAGTTTGAGCACTTTCTTCAAAAGAAACCCATTTTGGTGTCAATGGAAAAGTTGTAGAGAATCAAAAATTAAGCTTATATCCAAATTTTCAGAACAATTCAAAAACTGGTTTTCAAGAAATGCCAAATTTACGAATTTTCACAAAACTTGCATTTTAAGCGAAACTACTAAGTGTGTCTTTTTGGAAATTAGGCTATAAGCCTAATTTTTGATTCTCTACAACTTTTCTATTGACACCAAAATGGGTCTCTTTTGAAGAAAGTGCTCAAACTGGAACATCTCCAGTCCTCCATTTTTGAGTTTCACACTTGTCTCACACACAAACCAAAATCCTACTACGAAAGAGGAACCCGCAAATTGCCTGTAAAATGGGCAGAAGTCGTCAATAATAATGGAAATTATTTGGAATGAATTTATGGTTTTATGTTGAATAAATTTTAGTTCAAAGTCCCGCAGTTTTCAATTCACCAACCCAATAGTTAATCTTTAGTTCAAAAAGCTGAAAACTAGCGTAAATTGATATTTCCCTGCTATGAATTAAGATCGCATTAGATTTTCTATCAATAAACAATTCAAAGACTTTTAATGCAAAATTTTGTGCAAATTTTAGGCCTTATGTCTTCGATTTGACGAAATATCTTTTCGTTTGTCGATATGAATTCAATGAAGTTGGGGAATTGTTGATAAAAACTTTGGGAAAACAGAAGATTGAATACGGATTATCTTTTCGAGTACGACAATGGGTTGATGATGGTTGGAATTGTTGAAATTCGATTGTTGAAATTCTATTCTATCTATGCTTTTAGGAATGAAAGTCTTAGTGATTCCTGAATCATTGAGTCCCGAAAAGGAACCGATACGAATAGCTTTGGTTGAAAAAGGAATTATAGCAACGGTGGTCATCGATCGGTGAATGGAAAATAAGCAAAATGCATTCAAATTTTTGCAAATTTACTAATCTTTCTTTCAAGTTACTTAATTGGTTTGGCTGATGAGACCGAAATAAAGCCGGTTAGTCAAGAAGATGCTCTCAAATACAACTATTGCACTGGCTTACAGGTAAACCTTTTGACAATAAACCGTAAATCGTCGACATTTCAAAGACTGACTACTATAATAGCAATATTTGCTTCAATTTGTAAAGTTTCCTATTCAATTCAATAACATGATTTTAAAAGAGGCTTAGGAACTAGCTTTGATTCGAATCGAATCGACTTGAAACCGAAAATTTTTCATTTTCCGAAGACCGAATCAATACGATTCGAAAATTGTAAGAATTCCAACCAATAAGCTTTCAGAAAACTCATTAAGCTATCTTCATTGTAATGCATTTAAAAGGAGAATATATCAGTTCTGAAGTTGGATCAAAATTGGATCAGAAGTCAGCTTTTCCAGAATTCCTCTAATTTTAGTTTTTAAGTAGTGTTGGGTGTAGGCTGTCTCCAAATCCCTTGGTTCAAGGTAGAATATATTTATTAAAGCACCGGAGGGTGTATATATATCGAAAAGTTGAGGGGGAAATGTTTTAGAAATGTCTATGTTTTGGCTAGGGAAATCGTGGGAAGATTTCAAAGACAAAATAGGAGGATTACGAGAGAAATAGATTTTATCGGAAGAATTTCCGAACAAGTAGTGTACATAGCATATGTCGATCTAGAAATCCGTCCGATCTAGAAATCTGTCCGATCTAGATTCAGTTGATCTAGAAATTCGTCCGATCTAGAAATCCGTCTGATCTAGAAATCCGTCCGACCTAGAAATCTGTCCGATCTAGAAATCCGTCCGATTTAGAGTGAAGTGAGGTCAAACCGATCACTCTAAATCAGACGTCCGATCCAGACTTAGATTTAGAGTGATCAGCTTGACTCTAGATTGGACGTTTGACCACATTTTACTCTAAATCGGACGTTCGATCAGTCAGTCTAGATCGGGTCTAACATATAAACTCTGATAAGTTGATTGTACCAAGCTTCAAAAGAACCCTGAGAAGTTCAAAGCTTTGAACTAGCTTTGATTCGAATCGAATCGACTTGGAACCGAAAATTTTTCATTTTCCGAAGACCGAACCAAAACGATTCGAAAGTTGTAAGAATTCCAACCAATAAGCTTTCAGAAAACTCATTAAGCTATCTTCATTGTAATCCATTTAAAAGGAGAATATATCAGTTCTAAAGTTGGATCGAAATTAGGCCAGATATCAGTTAGTGAGTCAAAATCGATCGTAATTTTTACATTAGCGGTTTAAACAATTTCAACAACAAAAATCGAACCGAAATTTGCGAAAAGATTACTGACAATCCAGCGATAAAATACTTTTGATTTCAAATGATATATTTGCTTACAAAAATCCATAAAACAAGTTCTTGAATAACTTGTTTAATTCAAATGAAATTCAGTTTGATATCACTTGTCATATGGATGCAACGTATTCCACGTTTTTTGGATCAGATCCCGGATTGGAAAAGGACTCGATGTATCATATTTTAGACGTAAAGTTTGTTTTTTTTACTGCAATTAACCTCAATCAGGCCCGGGAAATTCAATTTTCTTTCAGAAATTTTATGAATGTCTGAAGATTTAATAGTTCATAGCATAATTTCTCAGGGTTTTTTTTAAGGCTTGGTACAATCAACTTATCAGAGTTTATATGTTAGACCCGATCTAGACTGACTGATCGAACGTCCGATTTAGAGTAAAGTGCGATCAAACGTCAAATCTAGAATCAAGCTGATCACTCTAAATCTAAGTCTCGATCGGACGTCTGATTTAGAGTGATCGGCTTGATTCTAGATCGGACGTTTGACCTCACTTCACTCTACAGGGTGTCCCAGAATTACGGTAACCTGTAAGGAGCGGGACTAGAAAGCCAAAATTGACCAAGAACGAAAAGTAAACGAACAAATTTATTCTTTTAACACTATTCAACAGAATAATTCAATTTTTTTCAAAGTGAGATCCCTTAGCGTCGATGCAAGCCTGTAAACGTTTTGGAAAAGCGTCGACGGTGGCGAGAAGGTATTGTGGATCGATCGCCTCCCACGCTTTTTGAAGCGCTTTCTTCAACGATTCCACTGTTTTATGTGATTTTGCGCAAGCCTGGGACTCCAAAACACTCCATACAGAGAAATCCATTGGATTGAGATCCGGGGACGAAGGTGGCCATTGGTTGAAACTGATGAAGTCTGGGAAGTTGTTAGCACACCAATCCTGAGCCAATTTTGCTTTATGCGCCGGCGCCCCGTCTTGTTGGAAGCACCAAATCCTGTTCCCAAAGTGTTTTTTGCTCCAAGGAAGAAGCTCATTTTTCAAAATATCCAGATAATTCTGCGCATTCACTTTAATGCCCTGCGGAACAAAAAACAACGGCGTCTTGCCGTTGCGTCGCACCTTCTTGATGATGGCTTTGTTGATAACAGATCGTTTGTTACCTCGTCCTTTCCGATCGAAATTGGTGCCCAGTTCCTTGAATCTTGCAATAGTCGTCGAAACCAGCTTCTTTGAGACTTTCAATCGCTTTGAAATATCAATCGCTCGGGTCCCGCCTTTGTGAAGTTGAATGATCGAGTTACGATGAGCAGAAGGCTTCGTCATTCTAAATTTAAAATCAGATTTTGATGTAAACATTAACAAAACATTCAAAAAAAGAGAATAAACCAAAAAAAGCTAAATCACAGGCAACTCAAAACTCAAAAACGGGCAAAGCAGCGGGGCAGAGCCGGTTACCGTAATTCTGGGACACCCTGTAAATCGGACGGATTTCTAGATCGGACAGATTTCTAGATCGGACAGATTTCTAGATCGGACGGATTTCTAGATAGACGGATTTCTAGATCGGACGGATTTCTGGATCGGAAAGATTTCTAGATCAGACGGATTTCTAAATCGGACAGATTTCTAGATCGAACGAATTTCTAGATCGAATGGATTTCTAGATCGGACAGATTTCTAGATTGGACGGATTTCTAGATCGACATAGCATATACACTACTTAAAAACTAAAATTAGAGGAATAGGAAATTTTAGTCAGCAATAAGATTTTGCGAAACTCGTTTTTCTAAATCTACCAGAAGTAAACTTTCATCTCCAGATCCGGCACTTCAGTCCGTTCCCGTTCCTCATCCACCACAATCTTCAGTCAAAACAATTGCTCATTCTGTATAGCTTATCAGCTACCTGTTCTAGGTTTTCTAGATATAGAACTTCAAAATTGAATGTTTAGTGTTACCAAACTCGATCCGAGTGAGATCTCTACCGATCATTCTCACTTCTTACTATTTCCCGTGGACTTTTGATGATCCAGCTCAATACGTTGGCTGTTTTCTTAACAAAATCCTTCTTCAAGTAATTTTCAGTAGTTTCAGTAGTTTTTAAGAATATTAATATTAAAAGAATATTCACAGGATTCCTATAAAAACAATCTTCTCATTCAAATTGATGCGCTGAACGGCGGGAATCTGAAATTCGATGTGTACTCAGACGCTGAATGTGATCAAAACTCGTTCAATTATACAATAAAGTAAGCAAAAATGCTAAGAAATATAAATCTTTTGAAAAACTTTTCAAAAATATAAGTTATCTGTAACCTTTATAGTCTAAAAGGTTTCTGAAACCTATTTCAAAGTCAAATTTTCAGCTTCAACTCATCGTCCACTCAGATCTCAACAATCAGAACAAAGTGCATGTTGGTAATTTGACAATTTAAAGCCCATTATAAAATTTATGACTTAGTTGGAGTGGTGCACGAAAAAGGAAAGATCTGGCTTCAAGCTTTGGACAAGTTCCGGGCCTGTTAATGCACCGAGCGATGTGGATTGCTCTGAAATGTTTGAGTTGAATGAGGAGAATTCACAGATAATCTTTCATGGGATGATGCTTGCAAAAGGTTTATTAGCTTTTGAATGAGAACGAAACGAATTAAAATTACAACTCCCAATGCCGATTAGAATTTTGGTTTTTGGCTTTTTGGCTTTTCGTATTTTCGATTGATAGCTTTAGGCCAGGATTATTAAATGACGAAATAAAGACAGAGCTGAAGCTTTTTTTGTTTTCGGTTTGACTGACCGGACCGTACCATATCAGCATCTTTATCGCAAGATATTAAGCTTCAAGCTTTGGGATTACATGAGATAAAAAAACGTACTATAGTAGATTCTATTGAGATAATTTTATGGAGAAAAATCCGGGTATTAGTTTCGAGTTGTTGAGCTTTTAAAGCTTCTTTCCTAGACTTTGCTAGAGCTTTTATATATATGCTTTATTCATGGGGCGAATAGAAGCGAATCAGATAATTATAACTGCATATAACATATTGCTACAATACTCTCACCGAAAAAAGAGAGAAAACTAAAGATAGTCCAGTAAGAGTACAGTTAGGAAACACAGATACAAAAAAATTAAATATAGGGCAGATTTGACATGGCAATAAGATCTAATTCGTTCACAGATACTTTGAATTTTCCTACAGACGAGAAGATACCAGACGGGAGCTTATTCCAAACCCTACTAATACGGTTCGCAAAAGAATGATAAAGGGAAAGATGATGGGGATGAGAACCGACCGAAATTTGATAAGGATGACTACGTGAACTTCTATAAATTTCTAAAGAATTTTCTCAAAGAATTACTGAAAAAAAGAGTCATGACAGAATCAAATTTAACAAATACGCGATGGTTGGATAGCCGTTCTTCACCGTTTTTCACTAATTCTTTGACCAAAACTCTTGAAATTTTACCAGAATATGTAATTTTGGATGTTCTATTAAATCCAGGCGTTTGTTTTTGAAAGAAATTGATGGACAATTCGTTTTGTGCTTTGAAAATTTCAAAGATTCGACCTATCTCCGATCGCCTATCGCTTTTTAAGCGAAAAACTGAAGAAACACTATTTTTGCACTTTTTAGGGTCTGACCATCTCTACTAAAACTTCTGTAAAAACTTTCAATTTTGCTTTTCAAAGCATCAATCAATAAGCGGCTTTTTTTTTCATTGAATCCGGTTGATAATCAGCTTTCGAACGAGCTATTACACGTTCAAATTGATTGAGTTTTAGATCGTTTCCCAAAAAAAACCGCACGAACTTTTCGTCCAACCCAATAGATAAGCGGGAAAGATTAAAAACTCTCATTTCCTTCGTTCCATTTTGTTTTAATTACCTACCGTAAATACTGTAATAGTATCCCACCCCCATAATGACGGTGCGGAGTGTTGCGTAGTCTAGCTTTGGACACGTTTTTCTCGAGACTGGTTTATGCTACAATGCGCATCTATTGGGTTGGGGAGAATGAGTCGGCGCCGAAAATCAAAAAAATGTCTAAAACTTCTATTCGACTTCGTCAAATAATATGCGTTTGATATGAGTAGAATGGTTAACTAATTCTCTACAAAATGACATTTAAAAGAAAATTCAAACAGCGCCTCCGCTCAAGAAAAAGCCATTTTTTCACAAAAACTACAAACTGTGATCTAGAAAAAACCATTGGTGGGATCTTCCTGCAAATTTGGCAACTTAAGTAATTGAATGTGCTCTATCTTTTTATATAAACACCAAAGAAGGTTTATGTGAAAGAAACTGTTCAAATGATGAGTCGGACTCTTTGCCATTTTAACCAGCTGCGTTTCGAAGTTCATAAACTCCACGAAAGAAAAGCTTTGTGGAATCTCTCAAAAGTCATTTTGTAGAGAAATAGTGGATCCTTTTGATGAAACCAAACGTATGTTTCAAGAAGGCTTTATGTGTGCAAAAAGTCCCTTTAAAGTTTGGCGCCGACTCATTCTCCCCAACCCAATAATTATCAAAAAATAGCTGAAATTCAGGGCTATTTTTTCATACCAAAGACACATTTTTTGAAAGTACGAGCGCTTTGAAAAAATGAGATACTAAAAGACTTTTGCGACTACGCGACTGTACGAGGGGGGTGGGGTACTATTACAGTATTTACGGCAAGTCTTTGAGTATCTTTCCAGGATTGCAAAAAAACTTAAAACTAATTTCGGATTCATATTCCCCATTCCCAAAAGCCATTACAAGTTTTCCGCTTAATTTAAAAGGAAAAAATGTATTAAATATCTAAGAATCATGAATTCATGACCATTTTCCAGGTCGAATTAGCCAAAGTCCAATTTGTGTTCAAGTGAATTCCACAAAAGAAAAGATGGGCGATCTTGAGATCGAATTTGCATTCATTTGCCATGCTGCTGAGGTATGCTTTTGATCTGTGATGATTTTTCAAAAAATGGACTTGATTTCCATGAAAATTTCCAGTCTGAGTGCCTTCAAAGCACTCCATTTCTCCTCGATTTATCCATTCCACCTCTCGATAATTGCACGGAAAGGCTAGTTTTTATAAGATTTCAATAAAAATCAATAATTCTAGCAAAATCTTGATGAATGATCTGATCTTGAAAAATTGCAAGTATAAAAGTGACGATTTTTTGGCAATCAGCACAAGTCATTTCGAGCAAGCATTGGCCAGTGTGATTGCTGTTCGTTTCATCAAATACATCGATAGTATGTGTTTTCTTTTGGATAAAACTTTTCTAAAATTCATTTAGAAACAGTTGACTATGTTCTGATTCCAAATTACTATCAAAATAGACAAAAAGAATCGTTCGGATTTCATTTCGAGGCTTCCGAAAGGCCGACTTGGGTATCGATTGGGTTCTTCTATCGATTCGATAATTATTTGGAGAAATTCAAAATGGTTCAAGCTTTTAAATTCAAAAAATCTCTGCAAAATCTCTGCAAAATCACTTGTAAATATGTAAATAATATCTTTATTTGACAGGATCACTCATCAGTTATCTGTTCCTACAATGTTTACTCAAGTTTTCCGCCTCGTGAAACGCAACTCGCCCGAAGATATTTGACAACTTTCAGGTAGACAAAATAGGCAAAAAGTTTTGCACGATTGTGGTCGAATTTTAAACCTTTATCTTTGTTCGTGAGCTTATTTTCAGCGATGACGAGAAATTTGTGAGCCAACCGATGAAATCGAGTCTTTACAGCATTTTGATTCCACCAGGATGTGCACCAAGTATTTCGATTTCATCATTTTCTCGTAGGTTTAACTTTCTTTGCTATCATAGTTTTCGATATGAATCATCATAAGAGTTTAATCACTCTTGATATAACGATTTTGAAATTCTAAAACAAGCCCTTGGCTGATCTGAAAAACTGATCTGATTTCTGATTTCAGTTTTTCAGTATGGTTATGATAAAATATTTTTTGTTCCTCACCTTCCATTGTCTTCAGTTACATAAATCCCAGCTCAAATTACTAAGCAATGATTAGCTAAAAGTTGACAAAACTATAATATAATAGATAAATCATTAGATAAATCATTTCAGCCTCTCATCCAGAATCTTTGCCTCTCAGCAATCAATCACTTTGTAATGGAACGATCATACTAAACTCTTTGGGATATCAGAATCCATTTCAAATTCATCCAAATTATAATGTTTATTCAATAGCTTTTAGTCATCAAATTATATCAGGTATTTATTTTACACAAATTGAAAAAATCTCATGTAGAATGCTCAATGGTTGATGTGATTGTTGAGGTGGAATCGATTGGAAATGCGGATTTACGGCTAGAATTTATCAACACAACAAGAAATGATAAAGCCACAAGATTTACTGGGTTTTTCCAATCATTTGACACTAAATTTATCATAAAATAGTGTAATTCTTGGTCCAGAGACGAAGATGCCGATCAAGTTGATGCAGAGAGATGTCTATCAGTTAAATGTGAGTACAGGGTGGCTGAAAAGTTCTGTTCGCATTAATAGACGTGTCTTTATCATAAAACACCGTAGAGATTGTCTTTTGAATTGCATTTTTAATGTTTTTTCAATCAACTCTTACGCAGCTCCATTGAAATTCCGCGATTTTTCGATGCGAACTCGACTAACAATGGTTGAAACTCTAAAAATTGATAATTTCAAAAACAATCTGACTATGTAAAGTATAGTTTTAAAGAAAAATGACTCTTCTTTCAGATAGGTTATCAAAATTTGCTTTTATGGAAACCAAAACTGATTTAGAGAACGAATTGTAGAAATTTGACACGCGATCAAACTGAAAAACGGTATTGACTCATAGGAATTAATACTAAAAAAGTTTTTCAAATCATATCTCAATCAATCATATGGTTGGCGTAGAGTAAAAAAAATGCGTAATCATTAAAATTTGAAGCACTTTAGCCTTTTACACGTTTTCTTATAGAGACAAATCTAAGAATGCGGACAGAACTTTTCAGCGACCTTTTTCAGTTTTTCATAGAATCACACCGAATTTGTTGGCTCTGGCACATGTTTGATTTTCTGTAGACAAAAACTAAATCTTGTTTTAGTCTAGGTTTTTTTGGTTTTGGGCCCCGGACTAAACCAAAGCTTTTGGTTTTTCGGAGACAAATCGAACCGGACTCTCGGCTCTGTCCGAGAAAAAACCGACTGAGACCATGTCTGTTGTACAACCCAAGTATTCTACATGTACTTTTCTAAATTCTACATGTAGAAAATTCCTTCTTGAATACCGTATTTTCTCTAATAGTAGTGCACCCTGGCGAGCCGAGTTGGTGACTATTTTACGGTTTCCAAGCTTTTGCAGAAGCTCAACACTCTAATCTCCAACTAGATCTCATCGTCAGCTACATTTTCCGACCCCACATCGATAGGTTCTGATAAGCGGCTCTCGAGATTTCGAGGAATTTAGGCGACGCTCAGGGTGCACTACTATTAGAGAAAATACGGTATTCCATTCACCCAATATTCATCCATTCTTAATAAACCAACGTACTTGAACAGATATCAGTTACATTTTGTCGTCTTTTATTTTACATATCTGGATTCGGATGAAGCCTTGAGTCTTGGATGAACCAGATTTCCCCTCTTGCCATCAAAATTCAACCAATTCAGGTGCTATGGAAATCGAGATCAAAAACTCGTGAATTAGATGGTACATTCCTTCGTATCCACTTCATTTCAAAGCATCATCCTCAACCAACTTCCATAATTACACAAACTCAAACGAATTTGCATTTCGCCATTACTTTCAGCATTTCCCTTATTCTGTTTTCTTTAAAGATCCTGTAAAGTCCTGATAAAGTATTCTGCATTCTTGCCAAACAAAGGATATTCAATTTCTCAGTTAGAGTATCTTTGAATTGTTTCTATTGAATTTCAAGATATTCAGTCTTGTTAAAAAATTTTTTTATCAATTGGACTTGATGATATTTCTTGTTTTGGAAAGCTTAATCTTGCCATTTTCTCATTTTGCTATTTCCAAATGACAGTAAATCTAACAAAAAAAAACTGAAAAATTAACACAAAAATCAAGAATTTCCTTTCGAGAACTTATTTAAAGGCTGTTTTTTTGAGGAAAGAAACTTTAGTCTGCCCAACCTGAATGTTTACCCAGTGTTTAGAATGAAATGAGTTAAAAAGGGAAACACAAAGCGGAGGCTGAAGTCAAAAATGACCTATCGACTTATGAAAAAAATTTTCTTGTTTTAAACATGTTTTTCGCTTGTTTTCAAGCATTTCCAATCGAACTAGAGTGATTTTAAACGATTTTTTTGAAAAATTGTATATGGCCCCCTTATGTAATGTTTTGTGGAGGCCGAAAAAGGATAGGGAACCATTAGAAGCGCATGCGCTTCTTTATTATTTACTCTATTAGAGTATTTACGGTAGTTTCCTTAGCTATTTATAAAGTCTTGTAAAGGAAAGATCCGGCTCCATAATGATACATAATAAAGCTTGATTGGACAATCAAGTTCTGAGAAAACAAAGGTCAGGGTACGTGAAAGCGACAAAACCAGTTGTCACCATGGGGTTTTCTTCGGCTAAACTGGCCAATCACCGACTATTATGTATCATTTTGAAGCTTGAATTGTTCTCTAAGATTATATGAATTGAAAGAGGAAATATTAACTCTGAAAGAAATTATTTACCTTCAAAGCTCGCCACTCCATTCAAAAGAAACTCGAAAACGCAAGGAAAGTGGCTCTTATCCATTTTTCGGCTTTTTTGGAATGAACAATTAGATCGAACTTTAGGCTGGAAAAAAATTTCAGAAAGATTTTTATTTATATTTATTTTATTTTAAGTTGCTTGATAAAGATATCTCATTGATAAAATGCATTTTATTGAAGCCAAGAAAGGAAAAACGAAAAAGTTTGTTGAAAATTGGACAAAACTTTAGGGTTATCTTTTAAAAATACATAGAATTAAATGAAATAAAAATAGATTTCATCATTATTTCATTTAGTTACCCAAATGAGGCGCCGATAAGGGTAATTGGTGGAATAAACCAGCCTCCCTTCTTCACTTCTTTGAGACAAAATGCTTGATTCTCGACACAAAATCCTCCATTCTTGTAGCCTTTCTGATCTTCACAACATTCAACAATTGTACTGCATCGACCATCGCATTTTTGATTGCGAAACGCCTTGAATCGGGCTTTATCTAAAAATGTTGAGAATCTGGGAAATCTTCAAAGTCAATGCAGAAGAAAAAAATCCTTGAAATATAAAGGTGAGGGTAAAGTTGGAACACTTTTGGTTTGACCTCAGTTACGCCCTTTTCTAAATGTTTTACTCAAATGAAATGGGTTCTCTAGGATTAAATTTTAAGCTGAATTGATTGAAAACATTTTTAGAGTCCTATTAGAGTTAGATTGGACACTTCACTTCTGAGAAAACAAAAGGGGAGTTGAGCAAACGTGTCAAAACAAGAAATCGGCCTTGACACCTTTGCTTACTCTTGACTGAAAATCTCTATCAACCTCTATTAGATATCAAATTGAAGCCTGAACTGTCATCTACAAGAATATAAAATTAGTAAGACAAAATGTGAACTCTATGAGAAGTTACGAGTCTTCAAAGCTCAACAACTTAAAACTTATACCCGCCTTTCACCCAAGAGCCAAAGATTCTCTTTTCTTACAACATTTTTACCAACCTTTTCCATAATTTGTACACACCGCATTGCCTTGATGACAATACCCAGGTGCATCAAAACCTTTCGATTTGCAGCAAACGTTGATGTTTCCACATTCTGGCGTACAGTCTGGCACAAGTTCGTGTCTTCGAGAAGAGGTGAGTGGGACTGAAAAGGGAAAAAAAACAATGTGTTACAGGAGAACTTTATCTAAAAAAGCTTTGATTTGATATTTATTTAGTCCAGCTTCAGGATCTATATCATATTCAATATCAATATCTATATCATATCATATTCAACTTATATAATGATCAACATTTTCTATCAACACATTTGAATTGTAGTTTATAAGGTTCAATTTGCACTTCAATATAGATATTTTCACCTTCATTGATCTGAAAATTTTGAAAGTATACCTGCAAACAAAATTATAACAAAGCCAAGCAAGCTTTTTGGTAACATTGCCAGAAAATAGTATAATGTTTAAAAAATTCAAGCGATTTTTATACAACGATTTTTATCAGTCAGGGTTAGAGAGGAGGAAGTCAGAGTCAGAGTTCACTCTGTGAGTGAACATTCAACAAAGATCAGCACAGATCTTTGTTGTACACTCACAGAGTGAAATCTGACTCTGACTTCCTCCTCTCGGACTCTGACTAAAGCTGATCTTTGTTGAATAAAGAAAGCATTTTGTTGCAAAATGTCTTTGTTTGTAAATGATTCATTAAGGTTGCATAAAAATTGCTTGAATTTTTTAAACATTATACTATTGGGTTGGGGAGAATGAGTCGGCGCGAAACTTTAAAGGGACTTTTTGCACACATAAAGCCTTCTTTAAACATACGTTTGGTTTCATCAAAAGGATCCACTATTTCTCTATAAAATGACTTTTGAGAGATTCCACAAAGCTTTTCTTTCGTGGAGTTTATGAACTTCCAAACGCAGCTGGTTAAAATGGCAAAGAGTCCGACTCATCATTTGAACAGTTTCTTTCACATAAACCTTCTTTGGTGTTTATATAAAAAAGATAGAGCACATTCAATTACTTAAGTTGCCAAATTTGCAGGAAGATCCCACCAATGGTTTTTTCTAGATGACAGTTTGTAGTTTTTGTGAAAAAATGGCTTTTTCTTGAGCGGAGGCGCTGTTTGAATTTTCTTTTAAATGTCATTTTGTAGAGAATTAGTTAACCATTCTACTCATATCAAACGCATATTATTTGACGAAGTCGAATAGAAGTTTTAGACATTTTTTTTGATTTTCGGCGCCGACTCATTCTCCCCAACCCAATATTTTCTGGCAATGTTACCAAAAAGCTTGCTTGTCTTTGTTATAATTTTGTTTGCAGGTATACTTTCAAATTTTTAGATCAATGAAGGTGAAAATATCTATATTTAAGTGCAAATTGGACCTTATAAACTACAATTCAAATGTGTTGATAGAAAATGTTGATCATTATATACAGTAGCGGACATAATTTTGGAAACTATTGTTTTTTTCTAAAAAAAATTTTCTTAGTAAAATCTGATTCGGTATGTTTATGTATGCGAAAATATGTAGACCTAAAAAACACGTAATAATCCATAGACAGAACTGCTGAACTTTTTGAAAACTATTATTTTTAATGCATTTATCTATAAACCCAGAGGACATAAATTTGGAAATTCATCAAAGTCTCAAGTATATTACTTTTTTGTTCTATTTGTATCTTTTTAAGCCTCTACTAATTATTTTAACTTTTTTTATAGATGGACAGCAAGAAAGAGACTTCAACAGAGAAACGCGAAGATGTTGTATGGATGCACCAAAATAGGCAGAAGCAGACATTTATCGCTCGATCTCTTGGCCTTTCAAAGAGTACTGTATCAAAAATTTTAAAAAGATACGCTCGAACTGGAACAGCAAATGCTCATAAGCATAGAAGACACAGAAAGACGACAAAACGAGATGGTTTGCAAATGAAAACTCTTCAAAGGCTGACCCAAAGAAGTCATCGGTCGAGATTTACGCCGATTTGCCTGACAAAGGCAAAAAGGAAATTAGTTCAAAGACAGTACAACGTCGTTTACGCGGATTTGGATTTTTGACGGTCGACGGTCGACGTTCTGCTCATAAGACACTGATCTCTGCAAAAGAATCGCAAGCTTCGGGTCAAATTCTCAAAGTCTCTTTAGTTAACCCTCAAATTTGCAGGATTACATGAATAACTTCCTTCAAATTTCATGTTTTTGCTGGTTATTTTGCTTTTTAGATCTTAATGAAATTCTGCCTATGGTCATATAAATTTTATTCTGATTGAATGAAAGATCGATAAGAGAACTAAATCTAAACATTCATTACTCAGAATCAAGCTGTTGACTCGACGTTCTTTTTAGACGCCTCATTCATTCGAAATCCCAGATTTACGCAAAGAGTTAACTTTTTGAGTACAAATTTCTCAAGAAACAGCTTCAATTTTCCCCGCCAAAAATCTCCAAATCAAATTATTTCGTAATCAAATCGCAAAAGAAA